GGGGGGGGGGGTGCTGCACCCTCTCCACCGCTGTGCTGGGGGCGGGCCCAGAGAACGCACGGGGCCTTTTCTAAGTCCCATGAGGACCAGGAAGCACAAGCTGGGCCTAAGCCTGGAATGGACAGCTTAATGCCCTCAGGGTCCAGCAGGGGCTGCGGAGGGGTCCCCCAAGCCCTGTGTAAGGAGGAGGGGTGTAGACCTATAGGGAGAGTTCACACCACACCTACAGGTGTCCAAAGGCACCAAGGTTCTTAAAACACTGTATGGACGCATGTTGTTTAATCTATACACATGTGCAGATTCAAAGGTAAACCAAGGTTGAGTTAAAGGGTTAATTTCAGCAAAAATAAACGTTGGCTTGGGGCCCCCAGGCCTCCTCAGCAGCGCCCTCCGCCAGGCTCCGGGCTGGGAGAGCCTCGGGACTCTGGCCCAAGCCGGCCTTGCCAGACCAAGCCTAGAGGATGTGCAGCCGCGTCCTGGGATTCTGTCTCCTCCACCTCGAGGTGTCTCAAGCCTCGGTGGGGTTCGCCAGAGTGCAGGCCACGGAACCAGTTGGGCACCTCTGTCCAACAGCCTCCTAACTCCTGGCCCTGGTGGAGGGTTAAAGATGAGGACGGGCAGCTGGGACCATCTACCTCTGAGTCATACAGTGTGCAAAGCCAACGTCCCTGCAAGAGGAAAAACAAAAAAAGGATAAAACATGTACCAGATTTTCTTTCTTTCCTGCTTTTGTTGAATACAATGCTTTCTAGTCCAAAAAAAAAAAAAAGTAAGAATGAGGGTGGGGACTCCCAAGGGGAGGTGGGGGGGGGGCTCCTGAGACTTACTTCTCACCGCACCCTGTAAAACCCTGCGAGAGCTGAGAGCCTGGCTCAAGGCAGGAAGCAAACCACACGACCCCCACACACTCGGCCATTCCCCTCCCTCCTGTGCACCCCCACAGCTGGCACAGATCCTGCCCACCGAGGAGAACTTCCTTCTGTGCTTCAGGCAGCATGTGGGCTCCAGCTCCGAGTTCATGGAGGTAAGCCGAGTCGCTGCCTGTCTCTCTGCATGGGGGCCTGCCTTTCTCGGGGGTTCAGAGCCAGGTCCACCCTGGTGCCTGGGAAAGGCCCCTGGGGGCACCATGAACCCCCCAGGGCTCCGCTACTCACAGTGTGGTCCACAGAGCAGCGGCCTTGGCACAGCTGTGTCACCAGGGGCTCATGAGAAATGCAGCGCCCCAGACCCAGTGTGTCAGCATCTGCCAGGATTCCCTGGGGGAATCCTGTGTGCCCAGGAAAATGAGGGCAGTGAGGTGAGAAGCCTGGGCCCAGGTCACTTGGGGGGTGCTGTGTGCAGGCTCTTTCCCCTTTGGGGTTTGTTCACAGACATCTGCGTTTCCCACTGAGAAGTCCAGCAGGAAAGACTTGCTCCCCCCAGCTTGGCCCCGGGAGCACCCATCCTTTGTTCTCACTCAATGACAGGTCCCTGGAAGGCAGAGCCCCAGGGGATCCCCTTGGGAAGGATGACCTGTGCACCATCCTACCAGCCAGAATCCGAGTTTCTGCTGTTTTCCAGGGCTTCATCATGCCCACCCCACCCGCACCCTTACAATGGGCATTGCTGTCTTTGCAGTAGATACTGAGATTCTTGTGTGAAACAGGACAACCCAACTCATGCCTTTTGAGTAACAGGTTTTGAGTCCATCGGATTAAACCAACTGGGGACCCAGCAAATCACCAATTATTCCTCGCTGTGTTTCTGGGGCTCTGCACTCTAGACACTCAATGCATGTGTCCACTTGGCCCGTGCCTCCCCACCCCCACACACCCCACACCCTCCTCCTGCCCTGATAAATAACAGCTGACTTGTGATGTGACTGCCATTTGCCGTGTTAAGTCCATTTCCAGCCACCAGTAATCCCCTCTCCGTGATTCACTGCCTAAACCCCGGAGAGCTAGCCCAGAATCCCGCAGGGCAGCGCGTTCCCCAATGGGTGGCAAGTCAGTTCGCAGTAACTGGTTCTCGGGGCGGGAGACTCCTTCCTCAAGAGGCAGCGGGCCTGAGCGGCGGACGTGGGTTGAACGCTGTGGTGCCTTAGAGGGCTCTCTCCAGTTTTGCCAGGTGGCAAAATTCCACACCCACAGCAGACGTCACGTCCTCCGCACCCTAGTTCCACCATGGCGGCTGCTGCCATGTTGACACCTTAGCAAGTCGCACCTCTGGTTCCAAGATGATGCCAAGCAGAGCCCCAGGCCTGCAGCCAGCTGGAGCAGAGAAGGCTGACCCTGCACTTCAGCCCTCATGGCCTTGGCCAGGATGCGTGTGCCCTCCTTTACCTGTGGCATGGAAGGGGCTGGGTTAAGCCGTCTCCACGGTCCCATCCCTCCCTAGTATTCTTGAATAGCAAGACCCAGCCTGTGGTTAAAGGGGAGCAGAGAGAGGCTCACACTGCAGGTCTCCGCTAATGGGCATTCCCGCTGCAGGCCTGGCGGAAATACGACACAGACCGAAGCGGCTATATTGAAGCCAACGAGCTCAAGGTAGGGTGGGCCCGGAGAAGGGCATGTAGAAGGGGACTGAGGTCTGCTGGCTGGGGGTCGGGGAGTCTGGGGCAGAGGGCAGAGGAGACACTGGCTGAGGGATGTGGGCTAGTGGTCCCCAGGGCAGCTGCAGGGAGCCAGAACATGGCCCTCCTGGCTCTAAAGTTCAACCAACTGCACCCTGCACACCAGTGCCCAGGACAGGCGTGCTGGAGGTGACTCCAGCAGACGGGCTCCTGGCCTGTGCAGGGACTCCTCAACTCCTCTGGGACCACGGAGCCCAGCCTTGAGTGCTAGGCTCTGAGGAGACAAGTAGTTCCTTCCTCCTGTTAGCGGGGTCCTTCAGGGCCACTCCATGGTGTTAAGGGGCTAGGGAATCCTGAGGAGTGTGAGCTGGGAAGACCTCAGAAAGCAGTGCTGACCATCTGACCATCTAATGGACAGCTAAGGGAGGAGGGTCTGTCTGAACGGGTCAGGGGTTCTGAGGAGGCCTTTGGTATTCCAGGGGTTCCTGTCCGACCTGCTGAAGAAGGCAAACCGGCCTCACGATGAGCCCAAGCTCCAAGAGTACACCCAGACCATCGTGAGTGCCCCCAAGCGCCCCCTCCCAGGCTCAGGACTCGGCCCAAGCTGGGGGTGGGGGGTGGGGGGCTCAGGGTCTGCAGGGTCTCTTTGGCCAATTCTTCAGTCCCCAGTGGCTCTTGGCCCCACGCCACCACCTCTCATAAGTCCCCACAGAGCAGGGAGCATGTGTTTCCATGACAACCCTGCAGCTCCAGGAGCAGATAAACTTAGAGAGGGTTGGGCCCTTGGCACTGACCTCCTGGCCTCTGGGGAGGGGAGGGGAGGGCAGGCACTGTGTCCCCAGCAATCGACTTAGCTCCCACCCAGGGCTCCGGGCGGGCGACTCAGATGAGGCAGGAGCACTCTGCACTCACCTTCTGCGCCTCTCCAAGGGAAGAGGACAGGTCAAAGCAAATAACCCAGGGACCCCCTTCTGTCCCCAACAGCTGCGGATGTTTGATTTGAACGGGGATGGCAAGCTGGGCCTCTCAGAGATGTCCCGGTAAGTGCTGCCCTTGCCCAGACTCTCTCGTCACTAGTCCCTGCAGACCATTCCTGCGCTTTCTAGCGCTAAGACCAATCAGTGGGAAAGTGACAGGTCAGGGGCCCCAAGCTTAGACAAAGCTGGTCTGAGTAGAGGCCCTCAGCACCTCTGCCCTTCTGTCTCCCTCCTTGTAGCGCTTTTGCTAACTCCTGCTCAGAGGCCATTTCCATAACTAAAGGCCCAGGTGTGCAGCCCAGCTCCTGCCTCTGCTGGGGTCCTGATCTCTGCTCTAACGCTTTCTTTCCAGACTCTTGCCAGTTCAGGAAAACTTCCTGCTTAAATTTCAGGTAAAAGAGGCACTTTGCTTCTCTTTGCTGCCTCCCTTCCCCTCGCCCCTCTGGGCTTGCCCCTGCCGCCCCAATGTCTTCCCCAGACCTACCACCCGCGCACAGGCAGGCTGGGGCTTCTGCTTCTCCCTTTCACACCTTGATCTTCCAGGGCATGAAGCTCACCTCAGAGGAATTCAATGCCATCTTCACGTTCTACGACAAGGTAAAATGGAGGATGGCAGTGTGGACTGGAAGAGCAGGAAGGCCCCTCACACCCCTACACTCCCACCCCCTGCAGCATCTGCCGAGCAAGGTTCCAGTTGGTCCTTAAGGACAATGGAGCCTGGGAGAGGCAGGCTGGGCCCTGTCTCTTTCCTGCTCGTGACTCCTGGCAGCATCTTCTGTTATGTGAGAAGATAAATGTCACCTGCCTTCCCTAGCTTGTGGGACCCAAGGGCTTTTGGTTCTTAAAATGTAGGAGAGAATAGGTGGCAGATACTGGGAGTTCTGGGGTCCTGTCTAAGGGAGGAGTGCTCAGTACTTCCCCCTTGTGCAGATCTTGGTTTTGCAGCATGCAGGTGGTTATTCTAGGAAGTTGGGGCAAGAGGCCCTCCTGACATGGTAACCCCTACCTTAGCGGCCCCCTACAGTGTGACTCCAGAGGCCTTGGAGTCCACAGTGCTATGGGCTGTGACACTCAGGGAGTTAGCCAAGTACTTCCTGAACTATATGCCGATGGAAAACAATAGAACACAAGGCCACCAAAAGTTTGCCCCAAACTGTCCAGTTCCTGCATTAACTGGTAAAGTGTGGGCAACCTGTTACTTTGGCACAGCCACCTCCTTGTGCAGAGTAACGGAGGGGAGATCGTGCCCACAGGCCTCCCTGAAGCGCCTGGGGGTGAGGGGTCTGGGGTAGCTCTGTGTGAACTCTGCTCCCCTCGCAGGACGGAAGTGGCTACATTGATGAGAACGAGCTGGACGCCCTCCTGAAGGATCTGTATGAGAAGAATAAGAAGGTGAGCGAATGAGCCCAGTGGCCTGGGGCCATATCCTGGGAGGGGGTGGAGGGAAGCTTGTGAGGGATGGGGTGGAAGGAAACTCGCCTGGGGTACACTCTGCTCCCCCGCTGATCGGCCCAGACCAGCCAGGGGCCTTTGTTTTGCTTTTTTCTGGCTGAAGTTTCTTTTTGCTTGGATTGTCCTGAACACTCACAAAGTTTAGCATCTTAACCATTCCTCAGCGGCATGAAGGTGCTCTTCTCATCTCTCAAGATGAAAACCTGCCCTGTCAAGTTCCCCTTCCCTCTCCCCCAGCCGCCCACACCCACCATCCTGCCGCCTCCGTGAATGTAGTCACTCCAGGTGCTCACATAAGTGGCCCATCCTGTATGCCTTTTGTAACAGGCTCAGTCCACTTAGCCTAAGAGCCGTCACCCAATCTCCAGCGTGCTGTAGCCCGTGTCAGAATTTCCTTCCCTTTTAAGCAAACATTCCCCTGTATCATCTGCAGTTTATCTGCTCATCTCCCCACACCTAGACTGCCTCTGTCTGTGGGCAGTTGTGATGCGGTGATCAGCAGTGGGGGGTTTAATTGGCTCACGGAAGCATCAGCCTCACCAACAAAAATGATAAGTGTGGGGGGATTTTTGAGAACCAAGAGCAGGGGGACGAGACGTCTTTCTGAACCTATTAACTGCAGGGGTTGGGGCTAACTGGAGTCCCACAAGCATTTGTTCCCCTGGAGCCCCTTGACTCGGCCTGGCCGTGTTGCCTCTCGAACAGACCAGGAGCCCCCCTGCGCCGCCCCCATAGGCTCTTGGTGGTGCCCTGGCTGGGGGAGGACCCAGAGACATGTCCTTGCAGCTGTCCTTACCTGCCCGGTCTCTCTCCGGGCAGATGGCTTGCTGCTCCCTTTAACTAGACGGTGAAGCCCGCGATTCCTGGCATCGCCCGCGTGCCTTGGCTCCCAGACAAGAGACAAACCGTGCTCATTTTCAGAGGGCAAAATTCATTGCAGCCTCTGACTCTGTCTCCTGATTCAACTGCTTTCCAATCTCTTTGTCCTGAATATAATCTTCATTTCCATCATCCTACATTCCCCCCACCCCAGTCACTTTCAAACTACAAGTGAGCAAAGGCCTCCTAGGAGATAAGATGTTCACTGAGTACTGCCTGGACTCAGCAATCTTCTTCCTGGCACCAATTCCAGGCAAGGACTGTAGGAAGCACCCTTTGGCACATACGCCATGTTACACTCACGAGACAGGACATTCTCCCTGCGGCTCTGCCTTACACCACAGGTGGGCTAAGCGGGCAGGCGCATGTGATATCTCAAGAGACCCCCACACTTCCTGACCACCAGCAGCCTAGGTGCTCCATGACCCCAGAAGATAACAGCGTGGCCACACCGCTTGGGTGGAACTGTGGAAACAGGAATCAGGTGTTGGGGTGAGGAAGGACACTGAAGGTTGGAAAACAAGAATGCTAACCAAGCTGTTTCCCAGGAGCCTCCCCTGTGACAAGCTCTGGCTACAGGGAGTGACCTGCAGCCGAGGCTGGCACCCATGACGCCACCTCCAGGGCCGTGACGGCGTGAACGGCCACACCGACCCTCTCCCTCCGCACGAGGAAAGCCACACTTTATCACACAAGGAGTGTGTGGCACGAGTGGCTGTCCTCTCAGTGGCGGGGCGCAGTGAGGAGGTGTGGGGTTGGAAAGCGAGGGGCTTCACTCCAGGCAGGACAGGCTGAGTCTCAGTTGTTCCGCAGAGTGTCTGCTAGGGTCAACAGCCCGTCGAGACCAGCAGACACTCGCCTGGGTGTTATCAGCCTCGGAGGGGCACAGAGAATTCTGTTATGAAACACAAGGTTCTCAGAAATCCAGTCAGAGAAAAAGCACAGGCGGGGTGGGGGTGGGATTAAGGATGGGTGGTATTTCATTTAACTTTTCAAACACAAAGTTTCCTTTCTTGGTGGTAGAGGTGGGGATCGGCCACAAGCACCCCCTTGGCAGATGCACGCTTGATAGGTTGTAGAGTCAGACTTGTGTGAGGCCCCTGACAGGCTGTGGGGTCAGACCTTTTGGCATCCCCAAGGCAACCACAACCCGCGAAAACCTTCCAAACTTCAAGCAAATCACAGCCCCAGTACACAAGCAGCTCCTCCCTCCTGCTCCTTCCTCGGCTCACCGGGCACAGCCCAGCGTTACCAATTAAGTGACTTTTCCAGGGACTTCCCTCTAGGCCAGGTGCTCCCCAAAGCTGGGAATACTGGCAACATGGCCCAGGCCTGTGTCCTGCCAAACCACCTGCGCTGTGATAACAGGTGGGTGGCCCGACACGGAGCCTGCTCCTCCCCTCTGCCTATCTCTAGGAAATGAACATCCAGCAGCTCACCAGCTACAGGAAGAGTGTCATGTCCTTGGCTGAGGCAGGGAAACTCTACCGCAAGGACCTGGAGATCGTCCTTTGCAGCGAGCCCCCCATGTAAAAGGGGGCAAGGGGCTGCTTCTCCACCGCCCCCAAAGCTTGCCCCTGCTGCCCTGCCACCTCCACCCAGACCTGGAGATCGCCAGCCCCTGCTAAACCCCTGCAACCTGCACACACCAGCCTGCAGAATGGGAAGGAGAAACGGAGGGTGGGCCGCTGACCACCTGGAGCCACTCTGCAGGACCCTGAGCGGCCCAGCTGTCCGTGGGGGCATCCCACGCGGAAGGCGGGTGGGGGCGTGGGTGGGCTCCACTTCTCCTCCCTGCGATGCATGAGCTCACCCGCTGTACGATTTAGGCTTCTGTGTCTGACCGGGTGGCCCCTCCCCTCTGCCCAGCCCCGCCGGCAGTAGCTGTCCGCTCAGATTCTGGTCTGCCAAGGCGCGGCCCTTGCCCTGTCCAGCCTCCACGTGCTCTTCTTCTCTGTGGGTTTCTCTCTCGTCTTCTTGTTTACCAAAGAAGAGTTTATAGACAATAAAATGGAAATGTCCTGCTGTGGAAGCTCACTCAGTTCTGTGGCGGGGCGGCTGCTCTGGCTCAGCCGCGCTGGGTGACATGGACGGCCCACTGGAGAGGGCGCTGGACGGCCCACCGTCCGAGGTGCCAGCCCGACAGCTCCCACCATGCCCCCTATCCATCTGCGTCTCCATCACTTCTTGACTCCCACTCCTCTGAGACTACGCCTGTTACCAGTTCTTTGAGAGCTTGCCAGCAGCAGGCACTGGGCTCAAGGGTGGACCTGTGAGAGGGCTGCCCTGCCTCCACTGCCGCCAGGACACTCACATGGGGTCCAGGGAGCAAGCCCAGCCAGCTGGATCCACGGTCTTATAGCAGGGATACCACTGGGGTGTGTCAACAGTGGGACTAGGTGACCCCCTCAAGCAGAGGGGACACTGCCTTCCTGGAGCTCCAGAACCCTGAGAATATAACTTCTCCTAAGTACAACTTAGCCTACAATTCATCTGCTGTCCCCTTGGTGAAGAGCTGGCTTGGCCTTTGGGTCCACGGGGCGCTATGACCCTGAATTTGACTTTTTTTAAAATAAGATTTTATTTATGCACACAGAAATGGGGTGCAGGCCAGAGGTGCAGGGGCCGTGAGAGGATTCACCAGAGATAGAGTGGGAGAACAGGCAGATCGATGAAGTGCACTGCTGAGGGGAGCAGCGGGCGGGTCGGGAGAGGTCTGCCGCGCCATGTGGTCACCTCCGGGGCAGGGATCAAACTTGCACTGAAGCAGCCGCAGCTTGGCTTAGCTTCGCAGTCCAGTGCTCCAAATCGTTGTGTCACCAGGGAAGGCTCTGACTTTTTTTAAATTAAGCATTTATTTATTTATGCACACAAGGCCAGTGGTGTGTGGTGGAGTGGGGAGGCAGGTGGAGGGAGGGCTAAGAGACTTCACCAGAGACAGAGCGGGAAGCAGAACAGGCAGATGGACTGAAAGACGCTGCTGAGAGCAGCAATGAAGTCAGGAGAGGCCTGCTGCACCGTGTGTCAGCTCCTAGTGCTGTGCTTTAATCCGCTGCGCCACCAGGGAAGGCCTGACTTTTTAAAAAATGCTGAAATGTATTGACCATCTGCAAGTTGCACTTTATCATTACTTCATTTAACCCCACATCACATGAGTCAGATACTATTTTCAGGTGAAGAAACTAACATTTAAAAACATGAAACTGTTCAAGGTGATCTCAGCAGAAGCAGAACTGGAGCCCAGCCGGGCTGACTCCAAAATCACCTGTCCTCAGCTCAGGAGCCTCCTAGAGCCAGGGCAGGCCTGGACAGCACCGCTCCTCTCTCCCAGCCACAGCCTGCCTCAGAGACCCCATCCTCTTCACTGCTGGAGGCTGCAGCCCTATAAGCCTCTGGCCACGGGGGCCGAGCTGGAGGTCCAGGGGTGTCATGGAGGTGTGGACCTGCAGCCAGATGCTGCTTTGGGGACAAGGTGGCACTAAGGGCAACCAGAACCAAGACAGAGATCTGGTACCATGGAGAACGGAAGCCATGGACCTGGGGAGGGGGCCATGAGGTCAAAAATCAGAACAGGAAGGAAGAGCTGAGGGAGAAAGAAGTATTGGGCGTGAAGGGGGGAAAAAAGAACACAGCCCCCTCCCCCGGGAGCCCCTGCTGCGCTTCTGATACGCTTTTCCCTCAGCACCCTACAAGCCATTCCTGTCTTCTGTACACAGCCCTTTTTTCACCCATGGTCTTCAGAGTGACCCCTGGGTAAGGCGCTCTGGCCTCCAGTATGTGGTCTCAATGCTGCGAGCACATACACGCTCACAAGCACACACAAACTACTGTATCTGCATCACCCATCAGCATCCTGGGAAGATGGGGACAGTGGTTGTCACAATTTGGGGTCCACTTGGGGGGCAGATCTTTTCCTTTTCTAATTGGTTGCACCTGCCAGTCTTCCCTCAGGCACACTCACAGGAAGGGGCCACTTGGGCTCTCCAGACATGGTCTTTTCGAGTCCATTTTGAACAGAATTGGTGGCAGGGGAAGAGGTGAGAGTTGCCACGGCCTTCAGCGCCCCAGTTAGGGAGAAGTGAACATGGCCGAGGCAACCAGGCTCTCAGGGCGGCTCCTGCTCATCTTCCTGTCAACCCCAGCCTTTGCTCACAGGTGCACTGCCAAGACAACTAAACCAGGGAGCACCCAGCCAAGCTCCTTGCCTCAGCCTGCCCTGGGGAGCTCTGACACCTAAGGCCAAAACCAGGACAGAGCAGCCCAGCTGTCTCCAGGGCACCTTCCTCTTTCACGCCACTCCCTCCAGCACCACACCTCTAACTCCAATGGGGGGTGGGGCAGGGCCTCCCAGGCTCATCTCAGGACAGGCCCCAACCCAATGAGGGGCACAGGGTCTCCAAGTCTTTCCCTGGGGTTGCATTGGTAATGTTTCCCGCTTCTCATGCCAGGGGTATAACCCGAGGTGGCAGTGATTAGAACCTTAACCCAGTAGGCAGGATCCAGGGTCTTTCCAGGCAAAACGAGAATGTTACAGGGCAAATTGGTCAAATCCATGGAAAGTCAGGTGGCTGGGAAGAGCCTACAAGTGTGTGTTTCGGAGGGGGGGGGGGCCATAAATGAATAAAGGAGGCCGTGTCCTGGGGTGTGTTCCCGGCCCTGCTTCAAAGAAGGACCAGTGGGGAGCAGCCAGCCTGGAGAGGGCTGGGCACCAGAGGGCCTGGCCCTGGCCAGACAAGGAGCATGTGGGCCTGAAGGCCCACCCTGGCCCCACTGGGCAGCAGCTGCAAGGGGAACCGTCTTGTCTTCTGGGAATCGGCCCCTGGGTCCCCAACATTTAGCTGGTGTACTGCAGGCAACTTTGCTCTGTTGTCTTCATTCAGTAACAAGTATTTAGTGAGTCATGTGTCTCCCCATGCACACACAACCCCCTCTTTACACACCACCCTTCGGACCTTTCTTCTGCCCCCTCCCAGTCACCTCCTCTTGACTGAAAAGCACATGTCAAAGGCAAAAAATCTTAACAAGAAATGACAGACATTGGTAGTCCTTAGGGAAATGCAAGTTAAAATCCCAGTGACATACCACAGAACAGCAAGGAAACCACATTTCAGTTTTTCCGTCCTTTATTTCCCTTTACAAAGGGCAGCATCTACTAAAGTGCTGTGCATTACAGGGAGCTGGAGAAAACACTTCCTCACAGAGGCAGAAAAGGGAGATTAAAACATTCCCCGTGGTTTAAGCCGAAAGCCACGAGGGAGCAGCCCCGTCCTCCAGACCAGCAATGGGTTTGTTTAGTCTCAGGACAGCATGGTGTTCAGGGAGCCATTCAGGGAGCTGCCTGCTTCTGGCTCAGGGTGGGTGACAGGCTCCTGGGGCACGCCCAGAGTCACTTCAGAGACACACACTAGCTCCTTCAAAGGACAGGTGGCTTGAAGACCATGGGACGATCATTTTCCATCCCAAGAGGCTCGTTTCCATTGAAGAGACGAGCTGGGGCCGCTGCTGCTCGGAGGCCAGAGCCTCAGGGGCTGGGGCTGACCTATCCCGAGGCCATTGGGGTCAGAAGGGAGGAGTGTGGCCTCCCTGGTGGGGTACAGCACACAGCTATTTCACAAGCCTCTGGGCAACATCCCCTTGGGGTCCAAGATAGGTGGTGAGCACCAATGCAAAACAATTTCTATAGTGCATTAACATGTGTGCCACAGGATAGCCCCAGGAAGACTGAGCACGTCTTCTGATCTGAAAACCAGTCACACAAATCTTACACCAGAAACAACTAGACCCACAGGACTATTTCTAACATCGCTCTTTTTTAGCAAGATACCAAAACAACCCTGTGACTTGCCAGGGCTCCCCTGGGAAATCTCAAAGATCTCCATAGGTGTCAAAAGAGATCCATAAAGTTCCCTTTCATTTTTCTTCCCTCTAAATGTATCAAGCGATCTGGGAAGGCAAAATGTAAAGAGTTGTCAGGAGATTTGGACACAAGATCATGGGTGCCTAACAAACAAACATGGCTCCCCTTTAACTGATTAGCAAACATTAGAGACCCCAGTGTAGTGAAGGTCCATTTAACACTTGCACACAAATGTTCATAGCAGCATTATTCATAATGGCCAAAAGGAGTGGAAATAACCCAAATGTCCATCAACTGATGAATGGATAAAGAAAAGTGTGGTATATCCACCATGCAGAATGTCAGCTCCTAGAGCAGGGAACGAAGGACTGACAAATGCCCCACATGGACGAACCTCAAAACTGAGGAGACCAAGTAAAAGACACCCCAAGCTGTGTGACTCCATCTATACGAGAAGTCCAGAATAGGCAACTGAGCCCGGAAGGCAGCTCCTGCCAGAGCTGGGGTGCATGGAGGCAGGGCTGCCGCTGGGTACGGGGCTGGGTTTAGCAACTGTTCCGGAGTAAGGTGGGATCAGAGAGTGCTAGAGGCAACACATACTGAGAATGGACTGCAGTCACTGACCTGCACCCTCTCCGAGGCAAATGCCTTCATTTAAAAGGGAAAAACCCAACACAGGCGTGGATCCTGGAACAAGGCATACATACATCTTGTTCGTGAGTGCATTTTCGCTTCCTGTGTCTAAAATTAATCCTCTCTAGGACATGACAAGGTCAACACCACGAACCCCTAGATGAACCTGCCATGCTGTGGCAGCAGTGTGAGTAGTATGAGAAAGGCAAGGAGGCCCTCGGACCCCAGCAGGCTGGACTAGAAAACCCCAGGCTGACGCATTTCTTTTGAGACCCAGGTAATACAGTACTTTTAAGTAAAGTTCACTTTCCAAACTTTGTCCTTCACGTTCTGGAACAAACGGACGGACGTGGTGCTATAGGACTGGGTCAAAACTATTTTCATAATAATACTACAATGTTATTTATGTTAACATATGTGCTATGTTCATCAAGGCTATTTTCAAATGAATGAATAGGTACTTCTAAAAATGTTTCCACTTCTATTTCTGATGTGGTAAATATCGATAGTTTTAACCCAC